GTACTTCAGGCCATTGCTGGAGATTCCTCCAAAAAACTGCTTGAGGCCGGTAGTTGGGGCGAAATAGAACCGACTCGTGGAGCTTTTGACCGGGCATGATAATACGACCTCTTCCAAGGTGCGGTCTATAAGTGCTCAATTTATAAGCCAGATCGAGGAACAGTGCCACTTACAGCGCTTTGTGTGTGTTGGACTTATAGTGAAGATGTCCGATAGGCAGTATCTCAAGCAGCCGCCACATGAGGGTTAAAGAGTTGGGAATTTCGCGTTCGTGAAGTTCTTCATATCCATGACTGCAAGTTACCTCGCGGGGATGAAGCACAAGCCCCGCCTCGCGAGCTTCTTCACACATCCATAGTAGAGACATGTATCGGAAGTCATTGGGACGGCTTGTTTTCTTCCAATTGCCACCTCCGCTAAAACAAGTTATCAGAAGAGTGCCTTCTGGTGCAAGGAATACATACACATCCGAATGACTACCAGCAAACCAAACCTCTTTGATACGATCTTCGTCCGTGGGAGATAGAGGCGATTGGTACTTAAACCAGTTCGATCGATCGCTCATACCACCATAGACATACTCAGGTTGAAATCTAACTCGGCGCTCATCTAGTGCAAGTGCATGGCGGAAGTAGCAAATGTAATCGCATGTGTTGGTAGACGGTAAATTCCTTGTCTTGTTGACACCGACAGACGAAACGGTGTCCCTAGACAGTTCATTAGGAATGCTAGTATGGTCGCGCTCAGGTGTAATCCTCACCAAACGCCGATGAAATGTATTCCTACGCTTCTTGAGTTTGCCATTTTGAACTCCTTCGCAAGTTGAATATCCTTGAACTTCCCGCTATTAATGGCAGAGTAGCACTGAAAGGCACTGCGAAAATCAGCTGATCAGTTAAGAACAATAATCAAATGTAGTCACCAGGGAATCTTGTCCTTTTTTTCTGGTGTCACAAGCCCCACCTATCGAAAGAATAATCAACAGCAAGGATCATAGACTAAAGTCTATATATACTTCGTAAATCATTCCTGCCAAAGCACGAACTTGATATGCACCCCTTGAAAATCCTGACCTCACCGTTTAGTATAGTTGACTACGTGCAGCATCCAGGCACTTACCAAACAGGAAGATCTTATCACCATCATGGTACCTGTCTGAGAGCCATTCATAAGCGTCCACTATATTTCGCCTGATATTACTTTAATACCGTTACTGCGAGCCGTGAAGGGTCAGACATGCGGTACTTACTGAGCAATGGCCAGGTCCAAGATGCTCGAGACCTGCTCCACCAATTTTGTATACGCGAAACCTTCGGGCATGTCATACGTTCCTATGCCACTGGTGTAGCACGCGAATTGTGTTTCTTCATCCTTGACGATACTTTCGTGTAGTTCGAAAACATGAGTATTCTGGGTACAGATATCGTGACATCACCAATCATCGCAGAAGGCATGCATGACCTACATCTTTCGTTGTGTTTGATGTTCCATCTGCAGACTTGAATGATCGCCTCCTGAAACAGTAAGTTGAACCGCGCACCAATGCAGATAACCAGGTTTCTCCCTGGCTTTTTGTTGGAAGAACATTTACATGATCTCTGCAGTCCAATATCAATGACTGTGCCGCTGAGTTCTGTCGTATCGTACCTTAGACGGACCAGCAAGGTCGGATGAAAAGGAATTGGATGGGCGGCTTCCCGACATTGCGTACTGGAATGAGTTTACTGCAGGGTATTATAGTGAGCTGAACAGAGTATGCCCGTGGACACGAAGGGGCAACATGTTGCGAGCTGAACTGTGCATGAGCTGCGTGTCGCGGTGCTCCGCGCAGGACAGGAGGATACCACACCTCTGAGATACTTAGCCTGCCACTGGAGAAGATCCGTGTGCAAGATCTATCAAAATCGGAGTGCGTTTTCGCACAGCAGCTCACCACATCGTTTTGTACACCCTTTATCATTGTTCGACGGCCAAGCAGCTGAGGCAAGGCAAATGTGCACAACATTCTCAGCGTCAGAAGTTGGCGGCGCTTGGTTCAATCCGAAGAACACACGCCACAGATCCTATCGCAAGAATGGGACGCGATGGTTGTGCATATGATACACACAACAAAATTGCATCGCGACCAACCTAAAAATTATGACGCGTTGTTCAAGTTGTTCCTCCTCGAGGCTCCATGTTGTTCAAACTTACCACTGGCTGAAGTTGTGGGTTGGAAATGACTACGGCTACATGGCAAAGCTCTTGAAGGTTAATTAACGTTGATCAAACGATCGTGGCCCAGAGCGCTGAGCGTCAACCCAGGTAAACACAACTTGCATGGAATGTCACCCTTTGAGATAGAGGAAGATGAGGGTTCGCAGTTGCTTAGTCACATCAGAAAGACTTCTAATGGTTGACGTCACAACGCCCTACTAACGCTTAGAGTTACTAGCTACGCACCATGCGAAAACGTCGTGTACACTGCACACAGTGCCTCAGCGCTCAGTCTTGCCATGACCTTAACCTTGTGGTTCGTGGACTCCCTCAGCACTCGGCGTATTACTGCTTTCCTCCCAGATCATCAAATATTGTTTCAGTGCTCCAATTTCTACTCGTTCCGTACGCATCCATGTTCCGCTAAATTAAATCGATTTTGTATTGATTGTGAGGCGCATAACAGTGGCAGTTGCAGTATCGTCGTCGTCGTCGTCTTCGCCCCATCCCGCTCCTCGTCTTGATGCTCGTCGCGTTCTTGGTCTTTCTCGCTCTCGCTCTCGTCGGACTTGTCGTGTTTCGGACAAATGAAATAGCAGACAGCGTGGAGGCCTGTCAAGTGGCCTTGCGAAGGTGTCCCCCAGGCCATCCTCTTCATTCCACCTGTCTCAGAAACCTTGCCAACAAATTTCATGACAGATTTAAGCAAGGGGGGAGCCTGTCTGACCTCGATAAGGCCATTGAGCACTATCGGGCTGCACTAAAGCTCTACCCCCACGGTCATCCCGATCGATCCACGTCTCTGAACAACCTTGTCAACAGCCTTCGAGACAGACTCCAGCAACGGGGCGTCTCATCTGACCTTGATGAGCTCATCGTGCTTTATCGGGATGCACTACTCCTCTGCCCCCCTGGTCATTGTGATCGACCCACGTATTTGAATGGCCTTGTCCACAACCTTCGAGACAGATTCCAGCAGCGGGGCGTCACGTCTGACCTTGATGAGCTCATCGAGCTCTATCGGGCTGTACTGGCGCTTTGTCCCCCTGGCCATTCAGATCGACCCGCGTCTCTGAACAACCTTGTCAACAGCCTTCGAGACAGATTTCAGCAGCGGGGTGTCATGTCTGACCTTGATGAGCTCATCGAGCTTCATCGGGCTGCACTGATCCTCTGTCCCCCGGGTCATTCTGATCGACTAACGTCTCTGAACAACCTTGTCAACAGCCTTCGAGACAGACTCCAGCAACGGGGCATCCCATCTGACCTTGATGAGCTTATCGTGCTTTATCGGGATGCACTACTCCTCTGCCCCCCTGGTCATCGTGATCGACTCACGTCTCTGAACAACCTTGTCAACAGCCTTCGAGACAGACTCCAGCAACGGGGCATCCCATCCGACCTTGATGAGCTCATCGTGCTTTATCGGGATGCACTACTCCTCTGCCCCCCTGGTCATCGTGATCGACCCACGTATTTGAATGGCCTTGTCCACAACCTTCGAGACAGATTCCAGCAGCGGGGCGTCACGTCTGACCTTGATGAGCTCATCGAGCTCTATCGGGCTGCACTGGCGCTCTGTCCACCTGGCCATTCAGATCGACTCACAGCTCTCAGAAGCCTTCTTAACAGATTACAGCAGCGGGACGTCCCATCTGACCTCGATGAGCTCATCGAGCTCTATCGGGCTGCATTGGCGCTCTGTCCCCCTGGCCATTCAGATCGACCCACGGCTCTCAACAGCCTTCTCAACAGCCTTCTCAACAGATTCCAGCAGAGGGGCGTCCCATCTGACCTCGATGAGCTCATTGAGCTCTATCGGGCTGCACTTCTCCTCTGTCCTCCTGGTCATTGTGATCGGTCCACGTCTCTGAACGACCTTATTACCAGCCTTCAAGGCAGATTCCAGCAGCGGGGCGTCCCATCTGATCTTGATGAGCTCATCGAGCTCTATCGGGCTGCGCTGGCGCTCTGTCCCCCTGGTCATCCAGATCGATCCATGTCTTTGAACAGCCTTCGAGACAGCCTTCAAAACAGATTTCAACAGCAGGGCACCATGTCTGACCTTGATGAGCTCATCGAGCTTTATCGAACTGCACTGGCGCTCTGTCCCCCTGACCATTCTGATCGACCCACGTGTCTGAACAACCTTGTCACCAGCCTTCGAGACAGACTTCAGCACCAGGGCACCATGTCTGACCTTGATGAGCTCATCGAGCTCTATCGTGCTGCACTGGCGTTCTGTCCCCCTGGCCATTCCGATCGACTGACGTGTCTGAACGACCTTGTAACCAGCCTTCGAGACAGATTCCAGCAGCGGGGTGTCATGTCTGACCTTGATGAGCTCATCGAGCTCTATCGGACTGCACTGATCCTCTGTCCCCCGGGTCAATCTGATCGACCCACATATCTTAAAAACCTTGTCCACGACCTTCGAGACAGATTCCAGCAGCGGGGTGTAACATCTGACCTTGATGAGCTCATTAAGCTCTATCGGACTACACTGCTCCTCTGTCCTCCTGGCCATCCAGATCGATCCACGTCTGTGAACAACCTCGCCACCAGCCTTCGAGATAGATACCGTAAGGGAGGCATCCTGTCTGATGTCGATGAGGCTATTGAGCTCCATAGGGAGATACTGGAGCTCTGTCCGCCTGGCCATTCTGCTCGATCTACGTCCCTCAACGATCTTGCCACCACCCTTCAAGACAGATACAATAAGCAATTTGTCCTATCTCACGATATCGATGAAGCTATTGAGCTCCATCGGGCTGCACTGGAACTCCGCTCTGCCGGTCATCCTGGTCGCTCCATGTCACTTAACAATCTTGCCACTAGCCTTCGTGCCAGATTCCAGCATTTCAAGCAGCAGGACATCATGTTGGACCTGGAGGAGGCCATCGAGCTCCATCGAGCTTCACTACTCCTTCGTCCCCCTGGTCATCCTGACCGATTCATGTCTCTCACTAATCTTGCTGTCAGCCTTGAAGACAGATTCGAGCAGCAGAGTGTCCTATCTGACCTTGACGAGGCCATTGAGCTCCATCGTCACGCACTGGCTCTCTGTTCCCCTAGCCATTCCGACCGATCTATGTCTCTCCATAATCTTGCCACCAGCCTGCGAGTCAAATTCCAGAAACGGGACGTCCTATCTGATCTCGATGAGGCCATTGAGCTCCATCGGGGTGCATTGGAACTCCGTCCCCCAGGCCATTCTGCTCGAACCTACATCTCTCAATGATCTTGCCACCTGCCTTCAAGACAGATACCATCGGCAACGCGTTCAGTCTGACCTTGAAGAAGCTATTGAGCTCCATTGGGCTGCACTGTAGACTGTCTCCCTGGTCATTCTGATTGATCCATGTCTCTTAACTGGTAGCCTTGCAGACAGATTCCAGCAGCGGGCGTCATGTCGAACCTTTATCATCATCCTTTATTCATACCCATCCTACGCATTTCATGTACTAGCCTCTTATGGAGATTTTTATGCGACCATGGGCCTTTGTCCTCTCCATGCTGCAGGATCCTACGAAGAGATCATGGTTATTCACATTGGTGTCTAGCTAGATACTTGATTGGCCACATTATCATCGCATTTGCTGTGAATCCTCGCTCCTTATGCTGTCCCACTAGTCAACCCTCACGTATTTCTGCATGGTATTCTCGTTCTTGCATTGTCTATACTGCTGTATCGTCCTCTGAGCTCCCGCACTGTTCCAATAACTCGCTGTGAGATCGTCATCACTGCTGCTCACGCCGAGTACCCTGGATATTTTTCAATGTTATGATATCATACCCATAATCTTTAATGTATTGATTCAACACTACAGTGTACGAAGCACTAGGGTACCATCTCCGTAGGGGGCTCTATAAGACAGGCGTCACTTATCCAGCACCCTTACATAATCGTAACCCTAACCCTAAAAACGGCCAAACCTTCAACTTGAAAATTTTCGAAAGTTGAGATTGAGAGACTGCAGAAAGATTAGTGACGAGTTTGTGATTAGTACTTGTAGTAACACTATATACTGGTGCATTAGGCCTTTCTCAGTGTCTCCTTAACTTTGAGAATCATACAGGGGGGTAGAGTACAATGTCTGTGGTATTGGCAGTTAGCCCAAGCTGCCTTGTCACACACACTCGGAAATGAAATGCATGGATTGATTTGCATATCTGCATTGTGGATGGTTGTTAATAGCATACATACAAGAATGGCCAATGAAAATAAAAACCTTTGAATTTGAAGTAATGGTACATCATGAGGCATTCAATGACATTTCTCTCCATCATGTTCAACCTAACTAACCTAACCTCTTCTCCTTCATCAGATTCTTCCTTGGCCATTAAGTTTGGGGCCCCAGGTCCAACAATATGTTCTGCAAAGTAATGCTCTTCCTCAGAGTCAGAGACATCTTTGACTATGGCTTTGTGTGACCTGGAAAGTGCAGACTGAATATTCCTGAGATGAGCCTTAGACTTTACACCTATTGAGAGATGCTTTATGTGGGTAATGTCACTGAGTTTTGCTGCCTTCTCCTCGGTCCTGCCCAGGCACATATCATGTGATGTATTATATAAGTGGCCAAATATTGGCATGCTGAAATCTTGAAAATTATTCCCTTGCATCCCATGGCCTTGTAAAGCACTTTCTGACTTAATAGAATAAAACTTTTTGGATGACAAAAATCTCCTCCAGTTTTGAAGATTTTTTGTTTCTGCTTCCTGGCAATTCAAGCTATGCTGCTATTAGATAGTTCCTAGGATCCAATTACATCAGAAACAAATCTATGTGCCCATAATTTGAGCAATGATGAGGCTCTCAATGTGCTGATGTAAGCTGTGCTGGATAAGAGTGACACCTATCTTAGTACAAAATTTTCTGTCCAATGAAAATTCTATAAGGAAACAAGGGAAAATAAGCAATTTTTCGAAATTTCCCATTTTGTTTCAAATTTTGGCCATCAGAAAAAAAATACCCCATGCTCCCTAGACCCTGATCATATTACACACATACCTCCTGTGATAAAGAAAGCTGCTCAAGCAAAGAAGCAATAAGTCACTGTCCTAAATTTGGCTCTTTGCCATCACCTCAACCAAAAGAGGGGTCAGACTCAGAGTACAAGGGGCCCGGGCTCTAGTGGGGAGAGCGAGGTTGAAGAAGATGACATACCTGGGTCTATTGTTGCCCTACAGAACCTGTATGGCATGTTTTTACCTAGGGCTGCACACCATACCGTATACAGTAGATGGCTGTACACATATAGTAGAGGTATGGTAGATGGTGAACCCATCCACTGTACATAATATTGGCAGTGGACAAAGTGAACGGTACAGTACATATGGAATGTAAATTAACCATGAATAAGCTTGTTTAGTCCCAAATGAGCCAAATGAAGCCTTGCCTTCACAAGCATCAATATTCTGATAGTCTCAGGCTTGAGACTTGCACACCACAGTGAAACTGTGTCACAACCACTGGAGAAAATTTGTTCAATAGCAACAGCAGATCCTACAAAGAAGAGAACTAAGTACAGACACCTGGGACATGGAATAAGTACTCACCAGGTATTGAAAGGACATCACAGGCAAGTTGAGAGAGGTTTGGAAACTGTGCTTGGTGGCCTGCCCACCACTGAATGGGGTTGCAAAGGTCAAAGTCCTCTTGCAGAAGTTTTAGGTACTCCTCAAATTCATCTACCAAAACATTTGACCATTTGTTATACCTTGCTGTAAAATTCACCTTTGAGGGAGAAATTCTACCATCAGACACATTTACATGACAGCCTGTGCTGGCAGACAGTGATGATGCACTGTCCCGCACAACAGATGTAGTGGCATAGTCTGCTTTATACAGGGTGTGTAGGTCATTCTTCAGTGAGTTGATTTGTGACTGTGTACTTGGATCATTGGCATTGCATTCATCATGGAGACCTTTGTAAGTGATGTGGGAATCAAGAACTTGAACTAGATTAGCTATCAAAAGAAATCTAAATGCAGTGCAGAACTTACTTGAAGCCTAGACATAGTATGATGAGTCTTCAATCTTGAAGAAGCAGTCACTGAGCTTCCAATGTGTGTTGATCAAAGTGAGCCATATCTTTGTTGGAGGTGAGTCTGGAAGATTGGCTAAATCATCCAGGTCACCCTCAACGATAAGACCATTGAAGCAGTTCTGGGTGGTTTTCAACTTCTTGCTTCTCTATGGCTTAGACTTGGCAGCAGGAACATCTTGACTACCTTCCAATTCTGCTGTGATGCTCTCAGTCAAGTGTGTGATATTTTTAGCACAGTGCCCACAACCAAGGACAGTCTGAAAGTGTGGTTCATTGGCAGGAGACTCGGAGGACATTGTGGGTGGAAATGTGAGCTTGGGGGACACTACAAGGAACACACTAAGAGTGCTGCTTCTATCAATGTGAAGCACATGCAGCAAACTATCAGACTCATCACTGTCATTGTTGTTGTCAGTGCAGGGCATGGTGGTTCAGGGCAAGAGGTTGTGGGATAAACCAGCACACTTTCCAACTGTATAGGTCATAAAGGTACCATTGATGGCCATATGGAATATGGCTTGTATGGTGTACGGTTTGGCCATATACCATACCTATCTGCTTCCCTTTGCAGGCCCACTGGTATGGCAACTGTATCCATTGATGGTCGGCATACAAACTGTCTTTGATGGTGATGGTGTGCAGCCCTATTTTTACCTGCAAATCTTTGAGCCAAGGGCAGTAATTTAACTGGGTCTGATGGGTCTGATGGTGAACCATGGGTGAATGTCTCTACATATCTACAGAATATCAGTGATGCTTACCATCTAAAGTCTTGCTGACAGCTAATATAATTGGATCAGAAATAGAATTGGGAGAATTGAGAGCATTTTTGAAGTCAGTATCTAAAAGACAAACAAAAAAAGAATTAGGAAGAAGAGTGATATCAGTATTGTCTAAAGAATCGGGAAGATGATCTGGTTGTGAAAGGGCATCTGGGGTGGCTAGTTTGCTCCCAGGAACATGGTGAAATTCTAAGTCAAATTTGGAAAGTTTCAGTTGCCATCTGGCTTGTCTATAGGCGAGTTTCTGAGAAGAACAGAAATAGAGGGGATTCTTGTGGTTGGTGAAGATGATGGCAGGGTGTGGGTTTCCTTCAAGGTAGTGGCACCAATTCTTCAGGGCGTGGATAATGGCAAGGAGTTCTCTATCATAGATCTGGTAGTTTCATTCTGCAGGGTTGAAGGATTGGGAGAGGTATCTGCATGGATGGTAAACTCCGTTTTCATTGGTCTGAAGAAATACTGCACCTGTGGCAACAAGGGAAGCATCAGTGGCAAGGGCAAATTGCTGGGTTGGATCAGGGTTCTAAAGAACAGGGGTAGAAATAAAGCACTCCTTAAGTTTGTTGAAGGCAACATTGCAGGGGGGGTGCCTATTCAAAGGTTGAAGTCTTCTCAGTCAGATCCACAAGGGGTCAGGCGATGTTGGAATAGTGGGAGATGAAGTGGCAATAGAAATTGCAGAAGCCGAGGAATGATTAGACATCTTTCACATTCTTTGGTACAGGCCATTCTTCAATCTCTTTTAGTTCAGTGGGATCCATCACTATCTGTCCTGGATGAATGATCATTCCAAGATAGTCAACTTCTTGTATGTCAAAAAGGCACTTCTCTGGTTTTAGGAAGAGCTTTTCATTCCTTAGGATTTCCAGGATGCTATGGGTGTTATGACCAACGTCCCTTAATCTAACTAGTAGATGTTTGGAGGCCGGATCACACCACAGGACTCGTCTGAGAGATGTAAAACAGGAGTAGGATTGAGAGGGAACATCTAGGTCTATGATAACGTAAGAACAAAGAGGTTAAGTCTAAGGAGTACTACTGACTACGACCTAAACTATATACTACTATTGAGGCGGAGACGTCTGAGTATGAAAGGTAGTGATATATCTATATAAGATCATAACATTGCGCCTAGGGTATAGGGCGTCTTATCAACCAATGAACTATAGGAGAGGGTTAAGGGTATCAGTGATTAAGCAGGGTCTCAGGGTACTGCTTCTATTCAGGGTGGACGGATATGAAGAAGGGTGAGAGAGTTCTGTGACAAGAAGTCTCGAGCGGTGATTAAGGATCTCGATAAGAGATGGGATCTGGAGATGTATCAGGTTCGATCGGATATAGGGGTTTCTCCAGGGTCTTTGGTAATGAGCATGCTTCTCTATGAGTGGCGCTTCTGTGATAGGGGTTCAGGGTTCCAGCTGTGACTGTGCAACAGGTTCTTATGTAAGGGATTCGGTGAATGACAGAGGTAACTCTTAACATGTCATGTGTGGGAAGTGAAGGTCTGCGGCTCGTAAAGGACTCTCGGTTATGGTTCGATCATAGAGGCGTGTAGATGCTTATGATGTAGCCAGTTGCCTAATCATAGGACTTCTAAGGATATGATGATGTCGGATGTCTAGGGTTTTGGATATAGATGGATGACGTCGATGTAGTATAGATGTGACGTGAAGATAGTGATCATTAATCGGTTATCCATCTTATCTTATCAGGGATCTTATCTAATCTAATCTTATCGGATAGGTGGCTTAAGGTTTGATACTCGAATTTTAGATGCAGTAGGGAACATTCATGACAATGGGTTTGCCTCTGGTGTTCTTCAAGGAAGTTGGAGAAGATAAGGATGTCATCCATGTAGATTACTAACATCCTTTATTGAGTTCTTGTTGGAAGGTGTGATTCATATATGCTTGGAATGTTGCTAGGGAATTGCAAAGTCCAAAGAACATAACATTTGGTTCATAGAGACCAAATTCCATTGTGAATGTGTCATGAATTCCAAACACAAATCATTTTTCATTCCTTGGCTTTCCACTGGCTACTTCCAGTTACCAAACCGGTCACGTGACTGCACTTCCTGTCACACCCTCACCTCTTCACATATCACCTGTTGTTTCTCCGATTGGTTCCCCAACTCCACAGGCTAGAACAATCTCGCTTCCGAAAGAAGTACTGGTCAGATCTTGGGCTTCTATTTAGTCACTGTCTGACTCATCGCTTATATATCATGATGTCATGCTCAGTCATCCGTAGTATTGTACAACTCTTTTATCATTGGCTGATTTTCTTTCATACTCAGATATCTCCTCTTCAATGTTATGTATATAAGTAGGTTAGTTAGTGTAAGTACTCCTTAGACTTAACCTCTTTATTTCCACACTGGTGGTAGACCTAGACGTTCACGCTCAAATCTATCTTGTTCATCATCATCCCTCTTGACCGATGTGGGTGAGGAAAATAGACTCTGTGTGAATCAGAAGTCTAACAAGGGTGCGAGGCTTATACTCGTCCCGAGGGGATTGCTACTGGGTAGCGAGTCCTCAAATAAGTGTGAGGAAACAAAGACTAGACTTTGTCTAGTGACCCGAAGGGTTCCAGTCCTTACTAGGACTGGGAACACAAAGATGTGGAGGGTTCCTGATGAGTGGAACTCAGCACGCGACGAGCGGAACTACGGGGAACTAATGGAACTAACGCGGAGCAAACAGGACAAATGGGGAACAAATGGAACTAATGGGGAACAAATGGAGGGAAAAGAAACTACGAGCCTGCAGGAGGATGATTGGGCAAA